AAGAAAAAGCCGCCATTTTTTAATGCGCGCGCGCTAATCACGCGTGAAATTATGCGCAGTAGGGATGCGCAATACAATACTGGGGAATGACCTTAAATCGCTATGTATCATGGCCAACCAAGTGAGGATTTACGAGAAAAGCACGATTAATTACCCTGTCGCGCTAAGTTGTTGGAAATCTCAATCATTAAAAGTGCTCAGCAATTATAGGCACCAAGGAGGCGAATGTTATTTAATTTAAAATGGTTAAGCAGCTTAAGAGGCCAAACTTTTCGTCCTGTATTTCATAAGCGGACACCTCCACCCTGTTTTTTTCCTCCCCCTAAGGCCAAACAGACAATTACGAAGGCTCCGTGAGTGTCCGCTTAACACGGGTCTGATTGTTGTTCAAATTATTTGTTGTACAAACACTTGTCTAGTGATCATGATAGTGATTCATTCATCCACTCCGCCCGATGAAGGAGCGTCTTGGTGCGCTCATCAGCGCCATCTAGTACATCTGACACTATGTATTCAATGTGTGTGTTAATCCCTTTTAACTTGAGCGCAATCCAGCAAGTAGTTTAGTGAATCCAACATTGCAGCGATACCGTAATCAAACTTACTTTGTTGGCTTGCGGAATGGTGCTACATGCGGTCGCGTCAATTGTAATGGCGGGATCGCGCCACCACATGCGTCTCCCAGCTGTACGAGCGATAACCCGACAAGAAGCACGAGGAAAAACACCATGAATAACTTCATTTTTTCTGAGCTGGACGACAACACGATCAAACGAAAAAGTTCGTCTGTAGGGCTGCGAAATGAGCCCCACTTAAAGTTAAAAGAAACTTGAAAGTGTGCCAGACAAAAACAATTGTAATTGAGAAATATGACACAATTTGAGAGCAAAATTCTGCTCTGTCAAACAAGGAGAGGTTTTGTAAATACTGCTATCTTGCGTCTACCAAGAATTAGGGTCAGGTTTAACTACTATAATGGCTTTTCCATTCGACCCTATTTGGTGGAGACGGTAACCGGAAGTTCTTCAAAGGATCAAAAAGCCATTGTTTGGTGCTAAAAGGAGCTCAGTCACGGCATTTTAAGTTATTTTGGTCACGTACAAAATTACCTTTAAATTGAAGGAAACCTGAAAATAATATGTTTTTTTAAAAAAAACTAGAAAAATATCAAAGCGGCAACAATAAACCCTAAAAGAACAAGAATGGTTAAGGATGGAGAAGATTGACGCGCACCATCCAGTTGAAGCATACCTGGACGAAGACAGAACGCCTGGCAAGGGACAGAGGATTGCAGGAGTTTTGTCAGTGACCTAGACAGGCCTCAGATCAAGTCAGGTAACACAATCGGGAGCCTGTTCACAGACTAAGCACAGAAAGCTCGAGGTCCATAAAAAAGACCAAGGGCTGATGCTTTCCGTGTTTTGTAGGACAAAGACCAAAGCAAACAAGCCACAGCTGCTGATAGCAAGAAGAAACTCTTTGAATGAATTGAAATGAAAGTGAGCGTAGATATACCTAAGAGTTTGAGACAAATTCCGATGGGAAAGCGAGTTATTTCAGTTTTTAGCGCACAAAAACCTTGTACTCCACAACACAGAATCAACCCGGATAAAACATCAATTTAAAGATAAATTATCCTTGCGCCGCTTAGGTACCTTACCGTGCGCATGCGTGGACATCGGTTCGTTCTCTAAATCAGGGGCGCTTTCCATTCGACCAAAAATTCCGAAATTTCGAAATGGGGACAAATGGTACGGAAATTTCTAAGGAAAAGTTCCAGAAAGATCAATCTCTAGATCTATATCTCTTAAAACCTTCTAAACAACTGGGCTGTCTGAAATGGTTCTATAACATCTAAGAAGTCTAAACTTCAGGAAAGAAGAAAGGAATTAAATTTAATAGCAGGTTTTCAATATATTGTGTTTTTACAGCGTAGAGGTGTACTTCCAAACGAGAGAATTGAATAGCATAGAATAGAAAAGCCAACTGTAAGAAGTTTAGTGAGAGTCCAGTAACCATGGTAACCACCTGTCTATCTTTATTATCTTACAACACCTTTTAGTGAGAACTACCTGAAGTTGCAAGTAGTTGATATTACGAGCTGAATAACTGGCTTGCCTATGAGTCTATGAGGAATAACCTAGAACAACAATAAGTTCATTGGTAACTAATAGCGGTTTAGCCTTAGCAAACGAAAGATTAGATCGTTTATAGCCTAGCATAAATACATGTGTTCTATAAATTGCTCTTCAGTTGCGCCCCTGATGGCGGGACACCGGACACCACTATCCTGTCTTGTGTTGCATTCTCGGATTTAACTCTGCTGTTGCGCCCAAGTTTTGTCTGTTCTATTGGCCAAATAGATCTCCGACGATATTATCTGCCGTCACCTATCCCGGCCTCCCTGCAGCCAGAGAGTTTTCCCCAGGTTTTTAGTGCTTTCCCAGGCCAAAAATTTGTCATAACATACCATGGCTCCTGAACATACCGATTTAAAAATAGTCTTGGGGTCAAAGATTGAAAATGTTTTAACAGTTTGCTATGGACTATATATTTTTTCATGGCTAGCGGTGTTGCTCGTGGGCGCGTACGCACGACGACGACGACTAGGCGGAGTTGCCCAGCATGGCGGCCATACTCCAGCTAATAGGTTGACAGAGACATGCAGCCTTGGTTTA